CTCATTTATGCCATCCGTTAAAAGTTTGGCTCATCTATGCCATTACCGTTTAAGAAAAGGCTCATTCATGCCATTATTTTTTAACGATGGTTTTGCAAAACCATTTTTTACACGTGGCCAATTATAATTCGGCCACATCATTATTTTTTTTATAATAAAAAATCAAATTTCAGAATTTTAATTTTTTATTATAAAAAAAATAATGACGTGGCCGAATTATAATTGGCCACGTGTAAAAAATGGTTTTGCAAAACCATCGTTAAAAAATAATGGCATGAATGAGCCTTTTCTTAAACGGTAATGGCATAGATGAGCCAAACTTTTAACGGATGGCATAAATGAGACTTTTCTGAAAGTTCGATGGCATATTTGAGCCTTTTCCCTTAAATTAATGAAATTTTTTCACACTAATCATTATACAGAGTTGCGCAAAAATATGGATGTATTATTAGTATATATAGCTAGAATAATATAAATATATTTTATTAATATTATTGTATACAAGCTAGTATACTGTATAGCTGAAATAATATGTATACATATTAATGTATATCATTATGTGTAACACATTTATTTGAAATACACTATGCTATTGCTAGAGTACATATAACGTATATTATTGTGTATATCACACATTTTGAGGCTGATGAGTAAAATGACTGAAACTTACCGAAATCCCACTAGTTTAGGAGCTAATTACTTAGATATACTCTAGTTTGCAATATTACGATTCTTACCAGATTACGGTGCGTCGAGCTACGTCCAGATTTATGTATCTTGGAATACACGAGGTCAAAATTAGGTGTAATTTGTTCAAGATATATTGTATCCAAGTGGATTCACCTCCCTCCCGTCTCTCTCGCCACTCTCCTATGTATTTGGTATCCTAGATACATGTGAACCACACCAGATACATATAATCTAAGTGTGATTCGAATGTATCTGTGATACATGACTATTGCATTCGTCTTTCTCTCTATTTTAGTGTATCTGTAGCAAAAATACATATATCTAGGTATATTTTCTTCAATATATGATAAAAGAAATTCTTATTAATGGCAAAATATATAATTATTTAAAAATATAAATAGAATTAATATATATGTTATGAATATATGTCAACATAAGGTAGCTTTTCCTAAATGATATTGGGCGAATAACCTCTTTATAAATGAGCTGATAATTCAACCCAATCCTTCTTAAATAAAAGATCGGGCTGGAGCGACTTTACGAGCCAATTCCATTTTAACAACTCTATGTATGTATAGTCTTTTAGGGAAAGTTACACATATATACCATCTAATATTAATAGTTTACGATCCTTGTAATTCCATTTCATTTAGGGAAAATTACCTTATTAGACATACATCCATATTATATATACTAATTATATCTATACTTTTAAATAATAATGCATCTTACCACTAATAAAAAGTTTTCTACCATATATTGAGGAAAGATATATACTTAGATACATATATTTTTACTACCAGATACACTAAAATAGGGAGAGAAGTGAGAGAGATGGGGAGAGAGACGAGCGAGATGGAGAGAGTGGCGAGCGAGATATATAGTCATGTATCCCAGATACATGTGAATCACAATAGATACACACTACAGGCCGTTTGGCCATAGATTTCCCAAATAATATTTGGGGGAGAATTTGGCAAATAGTGTTTGTCCATACAATTTGCCATTATTTGGCAAATATTTTTGGCAAATATCCCAAATTCCCAAATACTAGTTTTTTCTAGTATTTGGGTCAAATCTCATTATTTGGGATCTTTTGAAAATTGAAATTTTACACCCAACTTTTATCTTTTACAAAAACACCCCCTATAGTAGTTGTTTGCGTTGTATTATATAATTTTTTACGTGAACACCAAAGTAGTGATGAAATCTTCAGTGAATACGAAAGTGATGATACGGTTGTTGATGAAAATGATGAACAGTTGGCTCAGGGCAACACAGTCATGTGCTTTGTCTACTTCACGATGTATGGAATGATGCTTGTTGCACTCAATCCAAACTACCACATTGCTCTAGTGTCATGGACACTACTTGTTATTTGTTGCAACGAAGATCCAATTGACTTGTAATACAAACTTATGAGTATAAATCATATTTTTCTAAAAAAGTGAAATATATTTCCCAAATACTATGGCCAAACACATGGTGAAATTTCACCCAAATTTTCATCCAAATAATATTTGCCAAGAATATTTGGAAATCTATTGCCAAACGCTAGCTACATATGTGTATATGTATGTATCTAGTGTAATTCACATGTATCTCAGATATTAAATACATAGGAGAGTCACGAACGAGATGGGAGGGAGGCGAGTGAGATAGCCATGTATCCTAGACACATGTGAATCACACTAGATACACTAGATATATGTATGTATCTAGTGTAGTTTGCATGTATTTGTAACCAAATAAATTATAGGATAGTGGCGAGCGAGATGGGAAGGAGACAAACGAGATTTGTTTGTATTCCATATCCATGCAAATTCACCTGGATACCGTGTATCTAAAATAAATTACATCTAATTTTAATCCATGTATCCCGAGATACATAGATCTGAACGTATCTAAATGCACCAAAATCTGATAAATTCATGCTATTACAAACTAAAGTTATCTAAATAATTAGCTCTTAAATTAGTGGGACTATCTGTAACTTCCCTCCAATTGGCCCATATCAAATATCCAAAATGTTTATATCCTTTTCCAAAATTTTCACTCTTTGTATCCACCGGATCACCACTCTCCAATACCTTTGTTTTCTCTTCTCTAAAATCATATTTTTTAGAGAGTGATTTTTAAAATAAATTTTTAATACTCACATAAGCATAATAATGTTAATACAATATATTTTTCAAGCATTCATTTATAAATATTATTTAATTGTGATCACCGTTGTTAGTCCTTATTTCATTAAAAAAAACAGAGGAAAATAATGATCACCATTATAACCTCAAAACATTGTATTTAGTTTGCAGGAATTAGGATACAAGCGACTCCACCAATAGAAAGATTTTATGGTGTCTCAGCATTTCTTAGTATATACAATCCTCAAGTAGATGGAAATGGTCCATACAGTGCTGCAACCATTTTTCTTTCGAATGGGAGAGGGCAAAACGTCGAGGAGATACAAGTCGGATGGATTGTAAGTTGTCATTTATTTATATTATTGAATCATCAATGGTATATTTTCATATTGCATCTATACAATTTCAAAAGATTACAATTAGTACATATTCATTTTTTCAGGTGCATCCAAGTTTGAATGGTGACACCCGAACTCATTTGTATACCAAGTGGACAGTAAGTATATCTTTGATTGAATGACAAGTTCTTTTTGAAAAAAATGAAATAATCGAGAAATACTTTGGAATAGGTGGATGGCTATCAGAAAACAGGATGTTACAACACTAAGTGTCCGGGATTTATCCAATTAAGTCGTGTAATACCTATAGATTATGCTTTTCCAAGGACCTCAGAAATAGGAAGTTATTACAAAGAGGAAGTGCTTCTCAGGTTGTATCAGGTAGGAGTATTATATATATGTTATGCTACACACTTTCAATAATTATTCTTACTATATACTTGTCTTTTATGTAAATAATCATACTTTTATCATTTTGTTAGACGGAATATTTTGATTATCATCTTACAATGCCGGTGATGAATGAGGAGCTAGGAATGTGGCCCTATGAAGTGTTCGACAAATTGAGTGCAAATGCAGGGGACTTAGTGCAATACGGAGGGAAAGTGTACACACCAGGAGGTCAATATATTACGCCTACTATGGGAAATGGTCAATTTAGGGGAGGGCATTGGCTGCTCACTAGTTATATGCGCAAAGTCTTGTATGAAATAGATGTAGATGGCCACAAACAACAAGTTTCACCAGATGAATCTAAGGTTGAACCTCGTGAATCAAGGTGTTTCTACCAAGGCAATCATTATAACGCGAACGATGGCTACTGGGACTATAACTTCTTATTTGGGGGTGCAGGTGGTGGAGATCAAAGTGAATTTTGTCAGTATTAGAAAAAGAGAAAAACATTAGTACCTAGCAATTATGTCATATTGTATTTTTGTTTGAATGAAAAAAACGCTTTTATATTGTTGTATTTTTGCTTGATTTTGAAGCTACCATCGATTAAAAATCAACCTGGGAAATGCAGACAATATGATTGACGATTTGGCTGATATTATGAGTTGTAAGGTGGAGAAATTCCCTACCATTTACTGGTACTCCTGTTCAGTTGTGGTATCTATTGATGTTAGTGTTTGGAAGTATATAAGTAGTCTGTCGCTAAAAAATTCAGTAAAACATGAGACTGGAGGTCGAAAATGGGTGCAGGACTGGAGGATCTATTGTGTCTATTCTGAAATTAATGTTGGATATTAGGGAAATGCCCCATACATATCCAAATTCCAATTGTAAGCACCACAAGCACATGTTTTGTTTGCCCATTCTTTGGCTTCTTCGCCGCCATCTGAGAGAAAGTTCTATGCTAAATCATATTGGTATGATCCAACATCAAGTAATAAATAGTCCCAAAAACTCTTTTGGTTGCTTTGTTTTTAATTTGATGAATATGGAGACCTAAAGACTTGGTCTATCCACTATGATTGTGACTAGTTTATTTTATCATTTGATTTTTGCGTTCATCATCGTGCTCTTTGTTTCAAATTGATTCAGCCAAGCCTCCCTTATGTCCTGTTTTAAGCTCCTTTTCTCTTCTTTGATTGGGAGTGGAAGAAGGTAAGCATGGTACCTTAGGATAACAATATATTAGGAAAAAAGAACATGAGTTTTTCCATTTTTCAAATTTCTGAATGCCAAAGAAAGAGAAGAAGCTTGGCTCTTGCATGCAGTTTCAAATATCTCTAGCTTTGTTGCTTGTCCTACTAACATAAAAAAAACTCTCTCCGTACTATTAGTCGTTACTATTCCTAACGGGCAAATTATTCAACACTCCAGGCTATGGGGCAGCCGGAGGGAGAGAATCCTCTGAAAACAAAGCCCTTCTTGACAATCTGATTTTGTAAGAAATCAAGGGATTGCAGCAAAGATGGACTCCGGACTTTAAGCCAGAGGAAGATCTTCCTATAGCTCCAGTTTGGGCACTCTTTACCTCTTCATATGCCTAATTGGCAGATAGTTAGTGATGAGGGTGCTCCTATTGATCTTGATATGGCTGCTAAAACAATGAATATACCCATTGAAAGGATTTACCCAAAAACTTAATTATAATAACATTTCCAAGAATAAGAAGACAAGGAAACAATCTTCCAAAAAAAAAAAGTAGCACAAATCAGAAAAGGGAATTAAAACACAACAACAACAACCCTCACGACCAAGGTCTGAATACTATTTTTGATGAACTAATGGAGGAGGAAACTTCTCAAGTTCAAACTGTAGGTCTGGATCAAGTTACAGAGAATAAGCAGGAAGGAGAAAAGAACGAAAATCAAAAGGAGCTAGAGGATGACTGGGCTGAAGATAGCTAGCTCTTCAGAGGATGAAATCTCAGAAGAATCTTCAGATAAACATGCGGAATGTCTTATTCAGAGTGTAGTTGGAGATTTTAACTGCATTCTTTCTAGTGAAGAAAGAATTGGGGGGAAAACCTCATAAACTGAACACGAGTTTGTGTAATGAACTCATATTGCATTGAAATGGATAATTGGAATTACAGGTACAATTATAAGAGTTCATCATTCTAATTGCTCCAAATAGTAACAAATCCTTCCAAGGGAAGAAGTAGAAATAAAAAAGGAGAATGGAGGGAGGTTCCAGATTAATCTAAGCAACTAAGAAAAAAGAGACAAGTTCATAGCATAATGCTAATTGAGTATTTCCCTCTTCTATACATAGGAATCTTCCCAGGGTCCCAAATTTAATTTGGCATCTTCTCACGTAGGTCCTCCAGCTAAGTTATATTCATAACAATTCTCCCCTACTCAATAAGAACCTTGTCCTCAAGGTTTGAGTATAGCCGTAATGAGACCACAGTGTTGTCATGTTCCTCTTTATAAGTGTTAACAATCCATAGGAATTCTTCTAACACTTCATTATCCAAAGAAACTTTCAACAACGATCCATCATTTTGCTTTTTAAACCAGAGGATGCATCCATGTCTAACAAGATTAACATCAAGGAGTTGCTTGAGAGATGAAGATGGCAGAACTAATGGACCGACATTGAACATTTTATGGAGCTTTGATCTGAGAGCATTGAGAACTGTTGGATCCAACTCCACTAAAATATTATGAAATGATGGCACTGGCACCTGTAAGATCTCTGTAGTTCGAAAATCACTCCAAGGGACAACCACTTTCTCAACTAACTTGAACCAAATCCTTCCAGCACCCACAAAACCAACTTCCAGTAGCTTACATTCATAAGGGGATAACTCTTCAAAAAATGTAACCAACATTACATATCTCTTCCCGATTTCCGAAACATTCAACAGACACTTGATCTTGTGTTGAGAGCAAGACCACATCTTTAGTCTAGTGGGAGCCCCACCAACTAGCAACAGATCCAGCATTGTAGAACAAGATGTCAGTAAATTTTTTGAAATAAACTCATGAACAAGGGCATTGGCAGAATGTGGTGGTGTAAGAGTACGACAATGGTGACTCAAAGCATTTGGTACACATCCCAATTTTGTCATGTCTCTAAGAAGTGAACTAGCAGAGTCTACCTCATTGACTACACATTTTGCTTGTATCACTTGAGCAAAAGTGAATGCAGAAGGAGAATTACCTTCCCCTAGCAATTCATAGAACACATATCGAGCAATTTTTGGATAGTATCCAGCCAACATAATTTTCAATATGTTATGTGTGCCTTCTTTTATGTTATTTGCTGCCCGCAACTCACTGTCGACAAAATCAGCAGCTGCACAAACATTCGAAGAGAATGCTTCTTGTAGCATTTTAATAATTTCCATCAGCTCACTGATTGCAACAATTAATTTGTCAATATCCTCAATAGGCGGTGCCTTCTGCGTGACTTCCCTCGCAGCTGTTGTAGTTCCCAAAGCATCAATAATCGTGCTTGACGTGGTGTTTGCACCTTCTAATAGTAACATTTGATCACGACGAGGCAAATGGAAATTTTCAAGCTGGTCGACTTGCTGTTCATAGAGCATTTGCTTTTGCAAATATGGTATTGTAGCTCTTTTGTTTTGTTCACCAAGAAAATCTTTCGCTCTTTCAATCTCAGGAGCAATATTTTTAAATAAAATTGCCTTTTTTACAAGCACCTCAAGCATCCTTCCATCTTTGATCCAACAGTGATCAAACTTGCAAATTTGAAGTTTGAGATTAAATTGCTCAAACCAATCAGAAGTCAAGCTAACCTTGGCATCAGAAAAGATGTGACTACTCCTTTTTAAAATGGTTGTAACGGGATATCCTAATGACATTAACCCATAAAAGAGTCGAATACAACTCGCAAAGATGATCCATAAGACTACAACTAAGCAGCCATCAACCCATTCAACAATTGAGTGACCATTAGACAACTGAAGGTGGTTAAGATCAGTAGGTGGAGCTGATCCAAAAACACTATTGTACCATTTCTCATATTGGAGGTCATCATTCAGAACATCACAGACAAAGCTTACACCAGCTCTCTGATTTATATCATTGCTGCAAGACCATTTGGGGTTCCTCAAACGTCCATATACTGTTCTTGCATATTGACTTGTCACAAAAAATATGCAATACTTGGTCAGCAGATAAGAGTATAAACCCAGGCCAATTGCCACTTCGCAGAACACCTATTGTTCGATTGATTGCGACATCAGATCTATACCATAAATTAACAGGCACCTCACCTATGGTATTTAGCTGCTCCAACAACCCAAGCACAATAAAACTATTGTCTCCATGAGAGGAAGCAACTGTAGTGTATGTCTGCCAGGACAAGTTGAAGTTGCAAAAATAGAAGTACTGGATGAAGTCACATGCATCAATATACTTCTCTAATGCACCAGAAGAAACAACCCCGACAGCATGGTTAGCAGTTATGCAAGGATATTCAATATGCCTAATACTTCTAATATCGTTACACATGTCACAGAGGAATATGACCTCATGTGTGACGTATACACCGGGATCAAATGGAAGTTGTAAGCATTTAATCATATGGACCAATGTGATTCTATCCACAATCAGAATGTCACTATCAGATTCAATGTACGGTCTAGTTGAGTCAAGATTAAAAGAGTAAGCATATTCATACCTGTCCAACATATCAACAAACATCTTGTGTGCAGTGGTAACTGAGGATACTTCACCTACATCTGAAGTATCATCAACACTCAGAAGTGGAAAGCCATTTGAACAGCCAAAAAGTAGAACTCGGTTGAGTGAATGCACACCCGAGTTTACCTTATCAAAGCAAGCGCCAAAAGCCTGCCCAGTATCAAACCAATCGCAAATGTGTAAACCGAGCGAACCAATAGCTGTATGAGGGCCAAGAAATTCTGCAAAAATATCTCTCTTCCGCATTATATCGAACACCTTGCAGTCAAACTCCATGTCAAGCTTATGTCCGTAACCTTTAACTGGAAAAGTCAGTTCCTTAACTGAGAAGGACAAACGAGAAAATTCAAGCTCGGTAGTGTCAATAGAAGCACTGAACAGAACAGAGGGAGAAATGGTCTTTTGTATTGTATATCCAACATCAAGAATAGGAAGTTGAGAATCCAAATGACGGTATCAGCAATCTCGGTGTCATTATCATCGCAAGCTGACTCTAGCACAGAGGTGATAGTTTTATCATCTAAAAACTCTGGAGTAGCAGTGAAAGTGGAGTCCAATCGCATCTCCTCCTGCAGCAATGACCGGACATAACAAATAGAAGAGAGCATACGCTTGTTGTTTGCCTGTAGCTCCTTCATCGATTCTTGCAGCACCTTCAACGATTCAGATAAAGTGTTGAATTGATCATCAAGCATGGCAGAAGGGTAAAGAAGCATGGAGTACGAACAATGAAAGCACCAATGTAATGAACTCATATTGTATTGAAATGGATAATTGGAATTACAGGTACAATTATAAGAGTTCATCATTCTAATTGCTCCAAATAGTAACAAATCCTTCCAAGGGAGGAAGTAGAAATAAAAAGGGAGAATGGAGGGAGGTTCCACATTTATCCAAGTGACTAAGAAATAAGAGACAAGTTCATAGCATAATGCTAATTGAGTATTTTCCTCTTCTATATATAGGAATCTTTCCAAGGTCCCAAATGTGACATCTTCTCATGTAGGTCCTCCAGCTAAGTTATATTCATAACAGTTTGTCTTTACGAGAATGACTTCAAGACTGGATTAACTGGTAATAGATTCACCTGGTGTAATGAGAGAAAACATGATAAAATTATATGGAAGAGGCTTGATATGGTGGTAGTTAATGACAACTGGAGTGATTTGTTTCCCATTACTGATGTTTTCCATCTTCCAAGAGTGAGCTCTGATCATTGTCCCATATTAATTTCCTATGGGATACAACAAGAGAATCATATGAAATATTTTAGGTTCTTGAACTTTTGGGTGGAACAAGCTGACTTTATTAATGTTGTTAAGGATAGTTAGATCTCTCATACTAAAGGAAACACATTCTGGGAAATACAACAGAAAATGAAGAATACCAGCAAAGCCTTGAGCAGTTGGTCTAGAAACATCATTGGTGATACTTTCTTGAAGGCCCGAAAACTTGAGGATCTGATTAATCATTATGAAGACTCCTTCCTATATGCAATCTCTCAATCAAGAGGACATGATTATGCTCCATAGATACAAGGCTGAAGGTATTGTCCGTCATAAACAAATGGATGCCTTTTGTAGACAGAAGCTAACCTGAAGTGGGATTTGGAAGGCGATGATAATACCAAAATTTTCCATTCAATAGTTAGAGGTAGGAGAAGCAAACTTCATATCCAAAGAGAAGGAAATTGGATTCAAGGGGAGGATAATATTGGAACTGCAGCAGTGGATTTCTATCAGAACTTATTTGCTCAAGATAATTGCAGCATATATGGTTCTAGTCTTAATAATATCCCTCAGCTAGCCACTCAAGAAGTTAATGAGGCTCTGACGCAAGGAGGCAACTTTCGACATAAATCCTAATAACTCCCCAGGACCAGATAGATGTAGCGGCCTCTTCTTTCAGAAAGCTTGGGACATTGTTGGCAATGATTTGTTGGAGATGGTAAAGGCTGTTTTCAACGGA